TTGTTAGCGTGTATTGGAGATGTGCTGTAATAAAGACAATGAAAAGCCTATCTAGTAGCTGAACTTAAAACCTGTCAAATGAGTATGGAGTAGACCTCTTGATTTAGATTATTTCGCTGTATATTGTGTGCATTTAAATTGGCCACTCGAGGGCACCTTTGTATTTGGTTCTGCTCTTCCTGAGTATATTGACCTGGTTTCATAATGCACTCATTTTTAATCTCTCAAATCTTGTGAATGATAGCACTGTAAATTTCATATTTAATGGAAGCTTTATGTAGGTTTCTAAAGCTTCAGCTTGATCTCTTTAATAAAAGGCTAGGTAGCAAATTGCATTATACCAAGAGCGAGGTTTTAGAAAAGCTAAAAATAACAATTCATGAAAATTTCTAGTATATTGACCTTAACACTCACTTGTGTTTGCATGATTGACCTGAAAGGATGTTGTGGTGAGGTGGGAGTCTGCTTCTACTTCTAGGTAACTAGCAGTGGGACAAGAGGGAATGGCTTCAAGTTGTGTCAGGGAGGTTCAGGTTGGATATTAGGAAAATCTTGTTTTCCAAGAGTGTTTGGGCAGTGTAACAGTCTGCCTAGAGAAGTGGTGAAATATTCTTTCATGGAGGTGTTCAGGAAGTGTGTGGTCTTGCTATTTAGGGAAATGATTTAGTGTGCACTGTTAGTGATAGGTAGGAGGTTGGACTAGATGATCTTACAAGTCTTTTCCAACCTTGGTGATTCTATGATTGTTGTCTACTATCAAATATGTTATTAAAAAGTTCACTACAGTGAAATCATTTATTGGTTTTTTGTGTATGTTCTCTGATAGCTTCATTTGGTGGTAATTTTAACCTTACTTTTCACAGAAATAGTATCTGGCGAATAGACTGCATCAAAGCCGTTGGGCCAAAGAACGTTTGTATTGGTGCTTCTACATTAACAAGTAAAATAGTGTGTATCTGGATAGCATCCTTGCAAAGAACTAACATGGTTTAGTGGGGAAATATGGGTGGTGGATTGATGATTGGATTAGATGATCTTGGAGATCTTTTCCAACCTTGGTCATTCTGTGATTCTATGATCTCCCAGTACGGAGGCCAGAGAATTGGAAAAATGTTATAAGCTTGCAGATCCATTCTTTTTTACTTTAAGAACCAGAGTCTCTTATAGATCATAAGTGAAAATGAAGTCTTACATAACATGTATACGTATATGTATAACATGTATTCTCTTGTTCTGCACTAAATATCAATGCTTTTAAAGCCTGCATTGAGTTTCGTTGTACGAAATAGTCATTTTTTGATGTATCAGCTTTCCTAAAACAAATAATGCAAAGAGATTTAAAAATTGCTAAAATTAGATGACTACAAGTTTTTTGGTCTCAAACTTGATTGAAAATTTATGATCTTAAGAGTATAAATACAGAGACTTCAAGAGCTCTGTACTTCATTTCCTCTCAGCCAACTCTGAATTCACTTCTTAATTAAAAGTCCCAACTATTCTTCGATTAAAAACTAAATGAAATATTTAGATGATACTTATCTGTTCACAATACATTTTTAATGCACGCAAACACATCAGCTTTATTCCTAGCAGCATGTATGGATGGTTGTAGGGATTGCCATTGGTTTTGTCGTTTGCTTTGAAGTGCCAGTAATCAGCTTTTGTTCATAGCATCCCAGAGCACTGTTGGAGTGCATTATTTTGTGCTTCTTGATTTGAATTCTGGAAAATGGCTAGAAACCACTTCTTGCTTTTTTTGGTATAGAAATCTAGATTGATTTGTTGTTTTATACATGTGGTCACAAGGGGGAGAGTTTTGGGTTCTTTGTCTTTAATAGCCTTGGTGACAGATCTCACCCCTGTCATCTACTTGTCCAAATGTCTTTTTCTATTAGATCTAAATTAAATGAATACAAAGATATTTTCTACCTCTCCTGCTGTCTGCTCTTCAGACTTCATTGCTGGTGTCAGTATTAGCCTGTATTTTTGGAGTTTAAGAACTGGAATATCAGAAAAGTAGTAACAGAAGTATTGCTTATGGAATAATAGTTGTGCAAAGCAGATTGTTTTTGCTGCTCAAAAGAGAGGATGTCTGCTTGCGGTCAACGGCATTTTCAGGTCCTTAAACTCGCTCTCAGGACTGGAGTTGATCTTCCTTTCTGATGCTTCTGATCAGTCTTACAGGAGTAAATCAGTGTCAAGAAAGGCTGATAAATACTGAATGGAAAACACATGTATTACTTTGAGAGGGGATTACGTAGTGTTCTTTTCCAATGACCTCAGTCTACTAAAAAGGTTTTCAATTTATTATTAAAAACCTTGGTTGGCAATCCTGAGTGGTGATCAGCTATAAACACTTAGGGTGCATGTGTGGCTTTCAATTCATGAAAGGCAGGCTCACCAGCGTGGAATGCAGCATGTTTTGGTACTGGGTGTGTGTACCTGTCCCAAGTGGCTGGGTCTGGGAGGTAGCTTCAACCTTGGTGCTCCCACTGCTGACTGCCCAACAGTATTGTTACAGACATAGAAGTAGGTCACTGAGCATATGCTTTCTCAGTTGCCATTTGTTAGTCAAATGAGATTCATTAGCTTGCCAGCAAACTGGGACATTTTATGAGCTACCTTATCATGGTAATAATTTTAAAAACGAAGATTAAGCAAAACTATAAGAGCAACGCACAGCTTGTCAGCAATTGCTCCTTATCAGTATTTTATTTCTTCTGTCTGGTGTGACCTATAGTGGCGCAGGCTGTTTCAACAGTGGAGATGGCATGGTGAAGCTATTAATGCTAAGTTTGAATGATCAGTCTGTCTTTTTTGCAGCTAAGTCATCAGGATAGTGTCAGTGCTGCTTAAGGATGATTTATGCTATTAAAGATTATTAGTGTGGTTTTTGCTATACATCGTATCTGTAAAGTGTGCTCCACTTTGGAAAGAAAAAGACTTGCCACAACCTTTCAAAGTAATAGTTGGGGGACAGCTGGATGGAAAATAAAAGCTGTGATGTTTATTAAATTCTGGCATGTAGACCTGACACAATGAAACATCTGAGTATGGACAAGGACCATAAGAGCTGGAACTACTGGGACTTAATGCTAGCTGGTTTGCTCTGTGTAAGGTGTCTCTGCATCCGTGGCTGATTGGACAGCTTTGAGTTCAGGAGCTAGCTTGCTCAGTGCCAGCTGGGAGCAGGATGCTGGGCAGCTGTCCCTGATACACATTCCCAGTGGCAAGTAATTCTCCAGGCTTCTCTGGTAGCCTGATCAACTCCACAATGGACTGTATCAGTCTGTCTTTTAATCCTGTTTTATGCTTAACTTTATCCAGCCACTCAATTTAACTTGATTGGATTTTTTTTTTTCATTCAGATGTCCTTATCTGGTGCAGCAAAGAAGATAACAAATTTAACATGATGCAGTGAATGATAAAACTGTTCAGCAGCCCAAACTCCTGCCATTACTTTCATTATATAAATGTAATCAGTTCTTTATACATTGTAATGTGTCTTCTCTTAGAAATTATATTCAGTCATACACCTTTTGTACTCCTGCTTAGGTGAATACTTGCATATGTCACGTGTGCATTAAAGCATAAAGCTGGAGTTTAGCCTGAAGTGAATGCATTTCTGCTTTGTGTCTTCAAACCATTTGTATGTTTTTCTCACCTTGTACATCCTGTTCCATAGCACAGGCAGACTTGCAACTGCTTTTCCCTGTCTGTCTGCTTACAGCTTGCATACTTCTTCTCTTTGATTTGCAAAGCTATGATGATTTCAGGCCTTCATAAGGTTGCCTTATCCTGGATTAGATACTCCCTTAATTTATGAAGATAATATGCAGATTGAGAAGGCATGTTATAGTGTATACCATATATATATATATATATTTATATATATGAGTAATTACTGAGTTTATGGGGAAAAAAGCTCATCGTATACACTTTATGAATATCCACTTGCAGGATTGGAAATATGGGGCATGAGGTAGGGTTTTTTTCTCTAGCTATTTTTCCTTTAACTTCAGCAAAAACATGTCATCTGAATTGGCTATTTTGATCCACTGTAATGACCTGCTTTGCAGTAGCTCCCCTTATAAGTTTTCATCATAGATAGTAGAGATGATACGAGACAGTATAGAAGTGTCAACTTTATAGCTCTGAGGATCTACTTCGTGTTTGATGAAAGTAATTCAGTTGTATTTTTGTAGTAAGGATAACAAAAAGATAATGCTTCCATCAAAGTGATCAACTATGCATAAAGAAACAGGATAGACAGATGTATGGAAATAAATTCAGCAAAATCCCATTTTTTTTGAGCAAACTGGATCGGTTATGCATTTTAGATAATTCTGGAAGTGATAACAGCAATCTTATGTACTGGTTTGTAGAAGAGAAGCTTCACCTGACTAGAGAAGATCTGGAGCTCTACTTCTAGAATGCTGCTTTATGTACATGCTTCATAAAACCTAAGCTCTTCGTTCTTTTGGAATGATCTTAGAGGAACAGTTAATTAGAACTTCAATTAATGTATAACTCGGAGTTATTTTGCATTGTTTTTACTAAAAATACTGTTGCGGTGAACAAGAGCAAAGGCACTCTTCTCTCAACCTCCTGTGGGGACTTTGTGCTTTGGGACATTAATATTTCAGTGGTCACATTGGAAAAATGAAAAACAAATGAAACAGATCTGTCTTTCTTAGGCATGTGATATGATTCTATGCAGATTCATTTGCCTGTATGCTGTTCCAGAGAATTCTGTTGTAGGTCTCTCATTCTTGCTTGACAGATTTCCGTTAGAATTCATGCAGATAAAACTTAAGAAGTTAAATGCAAATACTTTGTCTACTCCTTTTGCTTTTTCTGTGTTGTGTGTTTTATTTCCACACTTTAACAATTACTGAAAAAGAATAAAAATCACATCTTGGCTATCTCTGCCTCTCTCCACCCCTTTTCCAATTTTTTCTTGCTTATTTTCCTTCTCATTTCTTTCCTGTTTTGCACAGATATCCTCTTCTGATACTGCTCAACCTTTGGCATCCTCTCCTTCTCTCCAGGCTGCTGCTGAGAAGAGCAAAGCAGAGGTATATCTTTCTGGTCTAACTTTTTTCAAATTATCTGATCTGCTGCTTTGCACGGGTGTTTGCATTGCTGTAGGGTAATTTCACCAAGTTAACTGGAGAATTTGAATTGTTAATAGTCATTCAGGTGTTCTACTCCTTGCTTCCCTGACTGGGTGCAAAGGAACTGATACAGTTGGTGTCTCAGAGCTGTGTGAAAACAACTCATTCCAAATTAATGGGCATGAGTGACTTTGGCCTTTCTCTTCAGGAATAATTTTTGACATCTTTTCCATTTTACTTGCTTCAGAATCATCGGTATTATTCCAGTCACTTACTTCAGTCTCCTTGGAGATAAGTGTTGCTAAATTAATTCTGTTTTTCTTTTAACTCATACTGTTACAGTATCCCTTCTAGTTGAGGCATGTGTACATGTACTGAACTTACATTTAATGTTTAGAAAGGCCTTCAAAAATATTCACAAATAAGAAGAAGAGGATGAGGCATCATTTATATGAACTTTGAGTAAATGTTACAACGTGTAATAAAAATGGAACGCTTTAAAATGCAAATGTTCAATATTAGATTCTTCTGTATGAACACTTCACTTTGAGACTGCATACAGCCTATGAAAAGTTTATTATCTAAACATAAATAATCTTTTTTTCTTCTAGATATAGAGAATATGTCCAGACAGTATAAATTATTTTAGTTTAGCTATATTTAGCATGAATTAAAATCTGAGTTAGTGTCATAGACTAGACCACAAGCCTTTGTGAATTTGATGCGCCTTTGAAGATGTAGCAGGAATCTCAACAGCTGCTCTATAATTAAATTCACCATTTATTTCTCAACCTTCTCATTTTGCATTCAAATTTTTCAATTCTGCTATATAACTAGTATGCCATACTGTTGGAAACAATTTTGGGGAAAAATGAAAGATTGTTGTTAGCAGTATAATTTCATTTAATGGTCTTGATAGTGGTTTTTGACTAATTTTGCAAGAAATGAAACACTTGAGTTGAAGTTCTGGCATGAATACACCTTCTGAGAAGTGCTTTTATTTAGTCTGTATTCATTTTTATCTAAGGGAGCTGAAGCAGAAAGCTTGTATATTGAACTTGTGAAGTGTGAAGATGAAGGAGTTACAGGTTTTTAAGTCTGCATCAGAAAAGGAGTGAGTGAAAATAAAGTCTCTGGGAATTGGAAAAGATCCTTTTTCAAAAGATCCTTAGGATTTGTCTTTGCATCTCCACTCCAATGTGGGGTTTGTTGAGAGGTGTTTCTTGTTTGTATTTTGTCACTTCTATGGTGCTTTTGCTGTATGAAACTTACTGTATGCCCTCTTGAAGTCCAAAGAATTAGAATTTCCTGATTTTTTTTCCTCTAGAAGTGAGGTTTCTCTAGTAAAATATATTTAACAATTATATATGTCAAAGTCAAACTGGAGATCAAGAAATCTTGAAGATAATATGCAAAAACCTCTAATTCTGTGTTCATTTTAACGTAGTGACCTATCATTGTATCTGAGAAGCAAGTGTACTGTTTTAACACTTGGAACAACCTTTCCCAGTGGGAGAGAAGACAAATAGTTGTGTAAGTCCTAGAAAAGAATCTACAGGAGAAGAGATCCAGTGTACTTAAATTATTCAACTTGAGAAAAGTAGGGAGGGAGGAGAGGGATAAACAACTTCTGGAAAAAGTATTCTCCAGCAGTGTATGAAAAAGTATTCTCCAGCACAGTACATGATTACAGTCACAATGTTTGGGGAGCGTTTAGAATTCAAATTGATATTAGAATTGGCGATACGATAATGAAAGAAGGGCTAAGCTTCATTTGAAAAGCATGGCTGTGTGTTTGCAATCTTAGTTCAGTAAGCCTGCAAGGCTTCCTTCCATGCAGGGGAGTATCATCAATGGCTGCAATTCGGTGCTGTTTGTCTTGGTGCTGCAGTTGCTGTGAGGCCTCAGTTGATTTCATCTTGTGGGACAGATTCACTTCTTCCCTCTTTTCACATCCCTCACCTGTGTTGTAACTGTTCGCTAGAGGAAGCTGAGTGGCACAGTGGCTCCTGATGCCTCAAGAGACCCCATCTTCTGTATGTTACGAGCAGGAGCTTGGAGGAGTATTCTTCGGTCTTGTTAGACCTGTGCACTTTTGAATTAATAAATGGGACACAACTTCCATAGCACTGCTATGATTCTTTCAGAGGAAACGGCTCTCTTGTTTCCTTTGTGGGTCAACCTCTTGTCGTATGACTCACTAAGTCTTTCATATGACCAAAGTCAACATTCTACATGCAGGAGTATCATGTTAATACTACTCAATCGGCCTTTAAAAACTGGTAGCTCTGCAGAAGGTTAAGGTTACATGCATGTTGTCTTACAATTCTTTGGTCAGGCTGGAAGCTGTATTAGTGAGAGAGGTTAGTTATCAGTCAGTTGATTACTCTCCACTCCTTCCATGGCAGATGCCAAAAATCCCCTTTCCTTTTACTCCTCACCACTTGATCTGTTTTTTACTCTCTGTCACCTTACTTAAATGACAGAATAAAAGAACCGCAAAGCTGAAACTGAAAGTTTCAGAGCTTCCCTCTATAACTCAGATCTTATGATGTCAAGTGTTGCTGAATCCAGCAAAACCTAAACTATGGTAGTTTTTGGAAATTTTCTGATTTCCCCTCAAACCATGTTAGCTCCTAGCAACTGAATGACCTGTGGCAAGGAATTCCACAGCTTAGTTACAGCATGTGTAGAAAATAGTCTCCTTTTATTTTGAACCTTGTTCTATGCTGTCTTTGATAGCCACTTGTTATTGTACTGGAAGACAAGGAGTGATCCCTGACGCAGAAATTCAAGACGGTTTCTGTTTTGACTTAGAAAGCAATGGATGCTACAAGGAAAGCAGTTCTTTTGTGGTAATCTTTGATACTAGTCAAAGATGACACACTTGTTTCTTTCTGTTCTTTGTGGGATTTCAGTGTTGTTAGAGAGATGCTAGTGAATATTAAGAGCAAGTGTCAAAACCAGAGTTCTCATGGATCGTGAGAAGACTTCAGAAGGTGGGGTAGAGCAGTTAGATCATATGATACGAACAAAATAAACTTCAGTAAGCTATTTTTGTGTGTGTCCTCACCTCAACTGTATTCTGTGTCCAGTTGTAGATGTTTTTTTCTCTTCAGGTGTTTTCTTAGGAAAAAAACAACAGTGGAATGTTTTTCTTTCTGCTTGTAAGTGGAAATGCAGGTGAGAAGCAAAATAATATTTTCTTAAACTTGCAAAATGAAATTTAATATTTTTGGTAGCACTATTTGAGCAAAACAGATCACTTCTGGAAGCAGTGTGGGTAGGAGCATAAGCTGAATTCAAAGGGACTACTGAAGATCTTTCTTCTATATGACTGGACATTCAGTGGGTTTGCAAATGCATTGTTATTGAGTATTAGCTAATGCTTTTATTTCTTTTCTTCAGAAGGAAAAAGAAAAAAAGAAAGAAGAGAAAAAGAGAGAGAGAGAAACAGAAAAAGCATCAAAACAAGTAGCAGTTGAAAAGGTAAGAATATCTTCTTTTTCTCAGTTATTTGAAACTGTAGTGTTGGTCATAGTGTAGTTTTCATTAAAAAAATGAAATTTGTAGCTGGGGGGAAAATATCACACATGCACAATCCAGACAATCCACACAAATGGCTTACTTATTATGTGTGTTGTTATTTCTGTATGAGGTTGCAGGAAGATGAGTTTGGATTTGTTAAAATACAATCTCAAATGATTAAGGTTTTTAAGAGCTGCCATTACCATTCTTACATAGAAAATTTTCAGCTTTATTGAGCGCCATATGATTATTTAGTGATATCTTTCTTAAATGAATCCATTTTAAAAATAAATGTTTAATCTATAGAGTTGAATTAATATCTCCTATCTGGATAACCTGAAAATATTCAACTGGAATGTGTCACAAAATGTGACAGGCAAACCAGCTTAAGCTGCTTCTTTAAGCAGTTATATTAAAGTACAACAAGCAGCTTTAGCAACGTAAAGAACATTTAAAATTTAACGTAAGAACATTTAAAATTTCGTGTATGTTGATCTACACTGCCTGTAGAGTTAATATTAAAGAGAACTGGAATGGATAATTTAAGTTTTAAATGCAGTAGTTTGTTCTGAGACAGGTGTCTTTTTGCCAATATGACTCCAATTATGTTCTTATATCAAGTATGTTCTTATCTGTATTGTAGTCCACAAAACACATTGGTGTCCCCATCTGTCGTTTAATTTCTCAATAATGTTCTGTTACAATTATGAAAAATATTGAATATTCATGCCCTATGATTGCAGATGTATTTCTAGTTCAGTTTTCAAATTTCAGTTTTCTTTATTTTGCATAATAAAGAGTTACAAAAATATATGCATATGTGAATGGGGAACAATAACCCTCCCCAGTACAAGTTTTTTTTGTGTGTGTGGAATTGGAAAGCAGTTTTAGAATTACAGAGGCAACACATTGTGATGACAATTTGGACTGCTTCAATAACCTTAGTGGAAGAAGGATATCCTTATACGTATGGTAGGAGGTCAAAGCACATTTGTTAGTGGTAAGATAAATATTAATATTCTTGATTATTGGAGCAAGGGCACAGTTCTTTTACATCCTCCCAAATTAAGTGTTGTGATCAAAACAATATAATATAGTCATACAGGCTAAAAATGTTGCTGTAGTTTGTAAAGCTCAGAAGTGTAGCGTTGGCTGGGAGGAGAAAGGAGTTTTTATTGCAGGGGTGACTTGGCCTTGTCACATGGCTAGGAGAACTTCACTGAGTGAGGAGAAGGGACTGCACTGTGCCATTACAGCTGAGGATCTGCACTAATGCTTGATATAAAGCCCACACCAAATGCCTCTGATTAGACTTACATTTGAAATGTAATGCCAGTTAAATGATTGAGCAAGAAAGCGTTTTCATTTTAAATGCTTGTAGTACAAAATGCATAATTCCATAAACACATCTGCACTAGATCACAGCGTTGTAACAGCTGGAGAATGTTTGAACATGCAGCATATTTTGTTTCATTATTAATACATCAGCACTGATTGCTCAAATGAGACTCGTCTGTGTGTCATCTATTTTATTTAATATATTATTTAAGCTGGGGCTTTTCAAGGTTTTCAAGGATTGTTGAAAGTACACTACTTTTAGACACTCCCTATAAACTTTAAAATCAGTGATTTTCTAGAATCCAAGTGAGACCTGTATTGAATTCTTGTGTTTCCACTGGAGAAGTTCTGGTGGGATGGAGAATGAAAAGGTTTTAGTTATGGATATGGATTTTTATGTTGCAATTCTGCTTGAAAATATTGCATACAGTGATGTTCTTCTTAGTTTAACTAATAATGATGGACTTAACATCCTGGTAAAGACTGTCTGTAGGGTATTTTAAATATTGCATGTTGAATCGGTAGGGGAATGCTGGACTCTTGACCACAATACCATATTTCCAACACCACAACAAGAAGCAGATTATTTATCCCAGTATTGACCGTCCTGAAGAAGGAAACAGACTTTAAGGGTTCTTCATACCTGAAATCACTGCACCTTCTTGCAAACATAGTATATCACCAGTGCAGACATTCCAGACTTGAAAATTTATTAAAGATATGTAACCACGCGATTGTCAGTTTTAAAGGAATTTTTTTATTAAGGTAATTCAGTCAATGTTTTGTCCATCCTACAGAAAAATCAATGAAGATGAAAAAGAAAAGCAGGCATTAAACTAGCAAAAGGTTTAAAGTGAAGCTATATAAAACTACAGAGAGCTTTAGCAAAGTCACGTATGAGTCTTACGTTTCCAGTGCCTTCTATTTTATATCTTATTCTGAGCTTGTTAGCTTTTGAAACAAAAGAAAGAACAGTATCTTAGAAAACCCAACAGCAAAATGTTCACATTCAATACTTATATTCTAGTCTCTACTTCAAAGAATGAAATCTGTGCCTACGTTTGGCTAAGAGCCCTTTACTGGTGGCTGGCCGTTAACCTTTGGCAAACTGACTGTTCAGCCCTGTTTATTTTGCATTTTCAAAGCTTATAACGTGTGTTCAGTAAAGTGCATTATTCCAACATTATGTTGGTGTGTCAGTTGGCTATCACGTAAGTCTTTGTTGGCTAGCATGCTTTTGTAAGTGAAAATGACAGAAATGTACATTTTAATGGATTAAATGCCAGTGGGCTTTTTAGTAAGAATCACCATGTCCTTGAGGTGGTTTCCATGGGAATCAGTTTTCAGGAAAGTTCTCATTGGAGACAGCAATAGATGCAGAATAGAGTTTCCACAAGGTCCAGGCGAAATCTACAGAACAGTGAGAAGTAAGGATACTTACTTGGTGTCAGGTTTTCAGGGTTGTTCTGCTTTCTGTGATTACAATTACGAATTACTGGGTGATTTGTATTATAACAAGATCTGCTACAGATTGACGGTCAGCTACAGTGATTAATGTTTTATTGGGAGTAGCCAACAGTGTGGTGTTCAACATCAGATCCTGCAGTACTCTGTAAAAATAAAATAGTGATATTGCTAAGCCACTGGCAGTTGTAATGCTTGCTTTTTTTTCTTCTGTTTAAGAGCTCATGGAATCTTATGGAATAGCACTGAAACTTCCCTGTTATTAATTACAGCTTCTGGTGCTTTGTAAAGCATGTTCCAGTGGTCTGTTTTGTTTTTCATGCTGGTAATGGGCTAACAGTGGTCAGATAAGACAGGGAGTTAGCTTTCTTGCCATGTAAGCGCTAATTTGATCCTGAAATACTGTGCAGTAGTTAATATGGATCTCAGCTGATAAAACTGTTGCTACATATATACAGCAAATTTCTTGTAACCTTTAGATAAGAAAATATGTATTGAAGATTTCATTGATTCACTAGTAGTTTGTGCTATTACAAGATGACATGTAAGAGTTGCCATAATATAACCAACTACCAGTTCAGACTGTGGAGCATTCAGTGTGCTTCAGTTTTTCCAGAAAAACAGTATAATAATTGGAATGCTAAGTGCTCAGTGAGCACATAATTATATATTAACATATCATGTCAGAAAAACAGAATTTTGTATTTCATTTTAGACTTTCTACTGTGGGCAGAATATTTATAACAGGGCTGGTATGGTAATCTGTTAGGATTCAGAGTTGTACTTTAAATTATAGCAAATTAACCAGCAAAATGAATGCATTTATTTCCTTGGATATCAGAACTACAGATTGTGGGGATTTGTTGCCTCTTTTAAGTCATCTGCATAAAGGTTTGAAAAACTGCATTTAATGAGAAACTCTTATGTGAACAGTTAAAATAGAATTCTTAGTGCCCTTTGGGAAAATGAAAGATGAAATGTGGGTGAACGTGAATCTGTTTACACTTCCAGCATTTTTTTACTTGAAGATGACACCTTCCAATAATAAATTATCGTAATTTTCAATTATATATTTTCATATTTTAAGCTAGTAATTGAGAGCTAGAGCCTCTTAAGCACAGAAGACTCTTATATAAGTTTAAAGTAGGAGATTACAAGTGACTTGAAGTTCTTGTAACCTTATAACTATTGATAGATCATATCATTAGTCTGAGATGGGTGCCGCTTTACCAGCACACTCATTTCATAAATTCAGATCCCAATTTTAGGTAAATGTTAAAGGGAAGTAATTGTTCTGTATCAGAATGGACAAAGAACTGGAGCATGAGGAATAAAGCTCTTGAACTAACATTTGTAAGGAATGGGGAAGTAGAATCTCTCATTTTGTGTGGAAAAAGCAAATTCTCTTGAAGAATGCAATAATTAACTGCCTAGTAAGCATACAGGGACTTAAGCTACCAAAGGAATTCTCTTCAGGAATCTGCCAGCTTATTCTAGGAGCAACTGACCTAGTGACATCTGGATTCTGCACATATTCTTGCATTCTCTTTTTCCTTCCTTCACTGACTCCTTGATCCTTCTCAGAATAAGTAAAACAATACCGTAAGGATAAAAGCTTTCTTGTGGTAGCAATGGCAATGGGAGGATGGTTGGACTAGATGATCTTGTAGGTCCTTTCCAAACTTGTGATTCTGTGATTCTAAAGTAGAATTACATGCCACGTTACTCTCAGTATTCATTAACTCATATTTTCAAGGTCTTCCTTGAAAGATCTTCAGACACTCATCAATTTTCAGCTTGAAGTCTCTTATTAACATTATCTGGAGTTGGCAGTGACCAAACTATAGCATCTCCAGTGCACCAACAGCACTCATTAAGAGAAGGCCCTTGTCTCTGAGAAACCCAGGGTACTTCCTTGTGCCATTTCCACAATTATAGATCTTGTTTTCTTTTTTTTTTTTTTCATGCTTAAGATAACCTGCCTAGATGCCTACCTGTGTGACCTGGTGTAGGGAACTTGCTTTGGCAGGGGGGTTGGACTCGATGATCTCTGGAGGTCCCTTCCAACCCCTACAGTTGTGTGATTCTGTGAACCTTATCTTTGGAGTTACTTTGAGAAAAGATTGCATGAAAACTGCTGGAACAATTATTAGACAGAT